CTGGGAATGTGTACATGGGCTTTTTCCACGGATATTTGATTTTTTCTCAGTACATTATTTGTATTAATACACATGTGTATTTTGGGATCATGGTCAATTTGATGGATTATTTGATATCATATGATTAGGGCTGCATACTGGTACACACCCTCACTCACACATAGAACTGTGTACCTAAACAAATTTTAGGTACAGATACGGGTACAGGTACACAGGTATAGGTACAGGTCCGGACCTGAACCTGTACCTAACGATTTGACCAATATTATTAAGGTGTTCTTCTGAACTCCTTCAATAACAAGACAAACATTGATAAACTTGTTAAGGTATAAGTTTTTGTAAATGGAGAGTGCTCAGACAAAATATGGGGAAAACTAAGATGTTTTTGTTTTCATCTCCAGACCTACCCTAAGTGGCCTCATGCAACTCAAACCTGATCAAAGTGACATCTATAGAGGGAGCGTAACTGATACACAACAGATCTTTCAGGGTAGTTAACACTGTCAATCTGTAACACAAACACACAGTCCTCTCTCTGGGAACCCATGGGGGACCAGCTATTTTCCCATTTTAGGTTACAAACAAGCACATGATTTGTGAAAAAGTTAAACTATACAGGTAATGTACCACATCAATTTTTTAGGTACAGTATCTGTACTGCATACCAGTACACAGTCCTACTCACACACATTCAACAGAAATCTATTGGGTACATCCAATATCTTCCCATAATACGGAATCACTAATGATACAAGAACTGTAATGGCATAAAAAGTTACACTACCCTGGCTCCAAGTGACACAAATGTGACCAAAGTGACATCTAGAAGGAGCATAGCTAATACACAACTTACTGTTCAAGGACAGCTAGAAAATTATATGCATTGCCAACAAGAAACAATCCACAATATATAGTTCTTGATGATCAATAAATAAAAAAAATCCCTGCAAATATAAAATGACTTACAGTAGTATGTTTTGTTTCTCCTCAGAACCTGATACCTTCCTTGGGCTTGAGAAGTTAAGAGACTTGAAGCTTAAAAGGAACACCATATCTGTAATATCCCAGCATGCATTCCGCGGGCTACCTCTCCTTGCCCGTTTGACCTTGAACATGAACCGCCTGCGTTCCGTGCCTGTCGACGCCCTCCTGCCACTTACGGTACTGAAGCTTGTAAACCTTCAAACCAACTTCATCACCACAATCGACAGTCAAGTCCTGCGTCTGAGTCACAACCAGGGCTTAAGTCTCATGCTATTAGACAATCAGCTGAAATGTGACAAGAATCTCACCTGGTTCATCTGTAATCTGCCAGACATGGGTCACATTTCTCGTCCTGACTTACTGAGGTGTGCGTCACCTGCCAACCTGAGCGGCATTCTGCTTGCCACCATGAGGAAGGACATCAGTCAGACCAACACGGACAGGTCATCACAGGGGATCAGGCTGGGGAGATGCGATGAAACGTCCACCACAACAGGTCTGCATACCCACCACACCAGTCTGCACAACCACACCAGTCTGCACAACCACACCATTCCCACAGATATGCCGTACACAAACACCAGGCCAGGCTCAGAGTCTACTACAGGGACTAACATGGTCACTGTTCTTGCCAGGACAATCATCACTGAGGAGGACAACAGTCGTCATGACATCAATGCCCTCATCACTGCTATTGTTGTGCCCATCCTCCTTCTGTTGGCATCGGGGGTTGTCCTCTACTTGTACGACCGCTGTCTGGCCCGTACCAACGCCCTGCTGAAACAGATGGAAGCTCGGCCAGATTGGGAGCATCCGACAGAGACTCAGTCACAGGCAGACAACCAACCCCTCGGCCAGGACCAGACATCAGAGGGCAACGATGACATTGAACCGTACGCTGTGTCATACATGGATGTGTCAGGAAAGGGGAAAAATGGCAAGCTTGCACCGTATGCAACAACTTCTTTTGCTAACATCCAGCCAATAGAAGACAACGATGACATTGAGCCGTACGCTGTGTCATACATGGATGTGTCTGGTAAGGGGAAAAATGGCAAGCTTGCACCGTATGCAACAACATTGATGAATCAAGACCCAGGCCCACAGCTCCAGCCATATGCAGTGACCCACGATGAAGACCCAGGGCCACAGCTACAGCCGTATGCAGTGACCCACGATGAAGACCCTGCATGTGCTACAAGAGGCCATACAGGGGCGGGTTATACGTCACTGACTAATGTCACTAACCAACGGACAACAAGCGTCACACAACCAGTCACCCATACAAAGAGTCAGTCACTGCCAAAAGAGGCCAATGTCAAGCCAAACTACGAGAGAGGCTATCCACCAATGAGAGACAGCAGCGGGTTGTATGGACTGGGCAAGGGAAAGGAGGTCCCAAGTGTCAGTGGGATTTTGTACAAGAGTGGCTCGCAGCACACTGGTGCCGAGGACAGCACATCTCATGGACAGTCTGATGAGGACAGCACAACTCATAAGCTGTACACCACCACTCATGGACAGTCTGAGAGTGAAGACAGCACAACTCATAAGCTGTACAACACCACTCGAGGACAGTCTGAGAGTGGGGACAGCACAACTCGTAAGCTGTACAACACCACTCAAGGACAGTCTGAGAGTGAGGACAGCTCAACTCGTAAGCTGTACAACACCACTCATGGACAGTCTGAGAGTAAAGATAGCACAACTCGTAAGCTGTACAACACCACTCATGGACAGTCTGAGAGTACGGACAGCACAACTCGTAAGCTGCACAACAGCACTCATGGACAGTCTGAGAGTGAAGACAGCACAACTGGTAAGCTGTACAACACCACTCATGGACAGTCTGAGAGTACGGACAGCACAACTCGTAAGCTGTACAACACCACTCATGGACAGTCTGAGAGTGAAGACAGCACAACTCATAAGCTGTACAACACCACTCATGGACAGTCTGAGAGTACGGACAGCACAACTCATAAACTGTACAACACCACTCATGGACAGTCTGAGAGTGAGGACAGCACAACTCGTAAGCTGTACACCACCACTTATGGACAGTCTGAGAGTATGGACAGCACAACTCGTAAGCTGTACAACACCACTCATGAACAGTCTGAGAGTAAGGACAGCACAACTCGTAAGCTGTACACCACCACTCATGGACAGTCTGAGAGTAAGGACAGCACAACTCGTAAACTCTACAACACCACTCATGGACAGTCTGAGAGTGAAGACAGAACAACTCGTAAGCTATACAACACTACTCATGGACAGTCTGAGAGTAAGGACAGCACAACTCATAAGCTATACACCACCACTCATGGACAGTCTGAGAGTGGGGACAGCACAACTCGTAAGCTATACAACACCACTCCTGGACAGTCTGAGAGTGAAGATAGCACAACTCGTAAGCTGTACAACACCACTCATGGACAGTCTGAGAGTACGGACAGCACAACTCGTAAGCTGTATACCACCACTCATGGACAGTCTGAGAGTGAGGACAGTACAACTCGTAAGCTGTACAACACCACTCATGGACAGACTGAGAGTGATAACAGCACATCTCAATAGCAAAGCCCATGGACAGCAAAGAAAGACGCTGTTGTAGAGTTCAAACTTTGTTCCAACACAAAAACATAAAATCACCATAAATTTTTTATCAAACTCATCAACCTTTGTCAGATGAATGATGCAGTCACTAACTCTCCAGAAGTCGAAAGCATGATGACGTAAGGAGTGCTTCAAAAGTGGGGGGAAGACGGAATCTACCACCATCACGGTTCAAGTTAATGGTGAGTTAATATTTTTTGTGATAAAAGTTAAAACACAATGCTCGATTTAATTGTATTTTATTATCGGCCCTCTACCAAGATCTGTAAACCTGCAATTACAGCAATGTCGGTAGAGGGCATTTCCATTCTTGTGCGTTACTATATCAGGAAAAACATGTATTAAATACCAGAACATACCTGTGGTATAGATTTGTCCCCCTCAGCTTTCATCTTAATCTTCATGAGGGCCACCTTGGCAGCCATCTGGGCAGACTTCGCTCCCATCTTCTTCTTCTTTTTCTCTCCTGCATCCTTTTTAGAATCTGGAGAAAATTTGATACCACTTTGTACATAGAAATAGAATCCAAACAAATATTCTCACTGGGAAAAGTTTGTGTTTCTGTATCAAGTAAAGACATACTGGCACCGCCATGTGTGTTGTTACTGTTAGCTATTTGGAGACCTAATAACAAATATATTTTATCGATTTGTTCAAGGAAGAGATGGATTGACATCATAAGAAAGGACATCCACCACCTTAACCTGCATAACATCAACCCATAGGATAGAGGCAAATGGAAGGCTGCCATCAAGCCTCAGCAAAGGTGTGCAAGCATATTTAACCTTCAGAAGATGGGGAACAACAGACGCTAAACTGCATAGCGAGTGAGAGAGTGAGGTGAATACCAGCTATTTTCTGGATGAGCTCCTTGGTTTGTGTCATCCTTTCTTGAGGAGCTTCGTACTTCTCACACTCATGGTCCTGCTGGTGCCTGTGTCTGGGGAGGATTCAAGAACACAGTTACTCTTCTACCTACATGTAGTACTGCCTAATATGTATGTGTGTACTACTTGTAGTACACTGAAACTTGACCTAGCGACCACCACTATAAGTATAACTTATTATAAGCCAGCCATTTGGCCATGACATTGCCTGCATTTTCTCTGTCCCGATTTTTCCCCCATAGACATAAGCAATAACCGAATGCCTAAACTCCAACACAAAAGTGAATGGCACATTCAATCGTGTGGATCAAAATGTTTCTTTTTATGATGACTGGCCAGTCATCTGGAAATTTTGATGGAATCGGTCAGTCAATGGCATTGATCTCAACAGCATGGCGATCTTTGCACAATTTTGTAAAATGGCGCCAGCTAGGTCAATTTGGGTCTATTGGGCAAATTGTAAAAGTGGTGGAAATTTTGCTGCACTTTTCTTGTTCTCTGTCTTGTCTTGTAGCCATGCTTTTTGTATAAGAAGGCCACTTGTCTATAAAGACCACTTTTCCTCAATCTCCTGGGTGGTCGTCTTTGACTGTAATATTATAGAAGAGTACAGGGTTAGGAAATCCTTGTAGAAATGTAGAACAAGGACAAGGGAATTGCACCCAATTGCTTAGGAGAGGAGAGAATGCAGGACTTACTGTAGACAGAGGTGTTTATTGCAGTGTTCACATATAACCGGCATGAGTTCTCTGTTTGTACAGTCCAGGTAGGTACAGGGGTAGCTCTTAGGGCTGGTCACCTCCACTTTCTCTCGCTGTATATTACACTACACAGGAGAACATTCATACATGTAAGTATAATTAAATGTACAACATATATATATCATAACTACTTGCCTTTAATGTCAGCAAGCTACTTTGATTTACCAGTTTGCTATCCTTTCTCTACCATTTGAGTCATTTTGACAACAGTAGGTTTTTCAGTCTTCACAACACAAAAATTGAACATATTCTACAAGAGGGGAGCTTGGAAATAAGAATACAAAGTCAAGTATACAACTGGAGCATAATATTCCCTCTTACTTCTGATTTGCACCACCGGTAAACATGCACATTTCTTACACGATGCAAAATTTGTCAATATGTTAACTTACCTCTGAACATGAATGACCATCCCTGGACCGATGTTCTTTGCTGCAACAAATTTCAAAAAGGAGAACTGTGTTTAAGGTTATTGTGTGAAAAACAATGGACAAAATCATGTACTGTGTTATAATTCTAATACAGTTCATCCTTGTAATTATAATGTATACTGTCTCAAGGAATGTGATTTTCATATCTGTGACAGACTTGGCAAATGATTTGTAAATTCCAGGAGAGAAGTTTGGTCTTCATACTGCTATGTCAATCAATCAACCAACCTGTAACAGTGGATGGTTTATAGGCGCTACCAACTGACCCGGCCAAAGGGGCTAGAGTCCTTTTACTTTTAGAGTGGTTAGAGCACCGGCGTGTGGCCTGGTGGGTCGTGGGTTCGAACCCAGCCCAGAACCAGGGTTTTTCATATGATATCTGTTTCTACTCGCTCCTCCTGTTTCTTACAAACCAGCCAACCAACCAATCAATAAGTCAATCAATTAATCATCAGTAGTCAGCTCATTTGCATACAATGAACCGCATACAATTATCCTTTCTACTACTTGAAGTTCTAGGGCTAATGTAAAAGACTGCAAGCAAGAGAAGCCCTGCAACAGTCGCCGCGGCTACTAGGGCTGTAACTTGAAAGTTGTGAAAACTCACTTCAAGTTTAATTGTAATGCATGTACCTTAATTGTAATATTCTACATGGGCAATGTTCTGAATAGAGAATCTTACCAAAATATTCCAGAGCAGGCATCGCACTTAAACGGAAGGAAATCTGAAAAAAAAGGTAATTATCATTTCTTTCACCAGCTTTAATATGTTTTCAGTATGGCTATGGGAGAGCGATTTGTATGAAATTTTCCATTTTACCTGAACCAGTTTCAAGCCCAGTTTAGGTATGAGATCACTCTATTATCCTAGGATGACCTAGAATCCGGAACAAACGTAACGTTAATAGGCCATTGGAAAATAGTTCCTTGGTTTCGTTACAATAATTTTCTCGGTATTACTTAAAGGTTAAACTCATTTTGGAAGAGGTAGGAAATCTTGGAACTCTAGGGCTCTCTCTCCAAGCAAGGGTGCTCCCCTTCTCCCAAGAATAATCTCTAGCACCTCTCCCAAAAGGTAGGGTTTTCCCTTAGTATTTTCATGAAAATTTGTTGATGTTTCATCAACTGATTAGGGAGCACCTCTCCCCTATTTCTGGGGAGACCCCTGCAAGCTGCATACTGACTAATATAATAAATTTGTATTTCCATGGTGCGACCCAAGCTCGTGTGCTTTGCTCACACTTTTCTGACTGGTGCAGACAAAATCATTACATTACCCGCTCTACAGGCTTATTTTTGTATTCCTACGGCCTTGACATGATACATGTCGCATAGAATCCGTCAACAACGCGTTATTGACCGTTCTTACCGAGTTGTTTACAAGAATCCACGCTGCACTGTTGTCCCAACTCGGGAAGTTCCGCCATGTTTCTGTGATGTGCGGTTGTTGACCAATCAGAGCGCTCCATTCCTACCGGCTACCCCGGGAACGAGATTGAAAGGTCAAGGAAATTTTGGCAACGCCACCGACAAGGAGCGGTCTGTTGTCATCCTTCGTATGCCAAAACATTTGTTACTAGTATTAAGTTTGTTAAGTTCTCTTCAACATTAAAGAACCTGATTGAGCACTGCATTCAACTACAATGTACCATACTAACCGTCCACAAACTGTTCAATGTGATTTGAAAGAGCAGACTTTCATACCATGATATATTTTTTTCTTTCCTAACGTTACTGTAACACGTAACGTTAATGCTAACATTATAACATTACAAATATATCTTTACCACTTATGGCCTATGCTACTAAAGCATACAACTAAAAGACAGCTATTCAAGGGAGCACCAACTTTTAAAAAATTCATATTTAATGTTCTGGGTTGTCCTGGCACAGTAAAATATCTAACGTTAATGATTAAAACACCAACATCCCAAAATGTGGACAAATACAAAGCAAATAGTAACTTGTACAGCCATAGTCATTCACCAAACATACTGGCATTTCTCACAACTTTCTTTGCAGTGTCCATTTTCCAATACATGTACATGGCAAATTATGAACCAATCTCACATGGAACACATGACACTATGGTAAATTGGGAAAGCATAAAAGTGCCTTCTGTCACACAGTAAAGATAGGACATAGTTCTCAGACACACACCTACTGAACTGAACCAGCATACCAAGCTTTGAGATATTTTCACATTAATTCCAGGCACCCCTGTCAAGAACAAGATCAGGAAAAATAACCAAGTCACAAGTGAATCTTTTACATAGGTAAACATGCAACCCCAACTCCATTAATTAACACCCTCCTTGTTCAGCTTGAGTACAATAATTCATAGTTTAAAAATTACAATTCCATTCCAAACAATTTTCTTGTTTACCAGAGCAGCATACCTCCAAATACATATACATACCAGTACTCAATGCTATATACAGATTTTTCCAATATTTACTGTACATGATTATCATAGTATTCATATAAATGACAAGCAAAATATTAGTTAATACATGTATAAGTCACAAGTAGTATTTATACATCTGTGTTAAAATAGTTGTGAGCTTCTTCCAGAGCAAAAATACACATCAATCATTTTTCCAAGTACATTCTCTGTGTAAATAGTTTTATATACAAATTAAGAACTTTCTTCCTTGAATTATTTAACTACAGTAACTTCTAATGAGATAATTTTGGTCCTTCTTCAATTCATAGGTACAGCAATTAAGATGATGCATTACCATTTCTCTGGTGTATTTGGAGATTATTTCCTTTGTCTAATTTTTTGTCGACTGCTTCAGAATTCTTCACTGTTTCCTTCTGCTGTTGTTCGTTTTCAGACTTCACTTCTTCTACGCCCTCTTTTGAATCTTTCTTATTTGTCTGCTGCAGTTTCGTGGGTCCCATGGACTCGTCGTTCTTTTCGTAGTACCCCTGGAAGACTCTCTCGTTCTTGCAAATCAGCATGGCTTTGTATACGTGCCAGAGAAGCATCGGGAAGCGACGGGTGAAATACGACACAAACTCGTCAGGAACGCTGCCCAAAGCGCGCCTAACATCCGGCGGCAGATCCAAGTAGTGGTGTTTCTTGTTGCGCATGGCTCGTAGGAGACACCGTACCGAACTACCCTTGTACGAGCGAAACTTTCTGAGATCCGTCTGAAGCTCCACGCCGATACGCGACCGCCAGTCTCCCTTCACCACAGTCCTGCCACCGAATTCCAGCTCCGTTACGAGTGGTCCGTCTAGCGGTTCCTTCTCAATTCTGTCGCTCACGTCTTGGAAGAACTGCAACTGCTTCTCCTTGCTCCAGAAGAACGGGCTCTTCAGGACGGAATTCGCCGTTGGACGCATCGTGGGATCTTGCCTGATCATCATCTTGATCAACTCTCTTGCTGCAAGAAGTTGGCTTTCATCTATTTTGGGAAGCACTGCCGGCTTCTGCACTTTCCTTGTCCACATGGGAGACAGAGAAACTTCTTTCACCGCTTCTTTCATGCACAGGTCATCGAGGCTATATTCCCCTGTCAAGATGTTGGCTTGTCGACGCAGGGAGTCACCAAACGGGTGTTTCCCCATGGTCAACACGTAGTACACTACACAGCCAGCTGAGAAGATGTCAACGGAACAGGTGGTCCTTTTCTCATCGTCCAACATCTCTGGTGCGATCCACCCTTCTGTTCCTGCTGCACCTGATCGGCGCGAGAAAGAATGTCTTCCCTGAGCTAGTTTCTTACATAATCCAAAGTCTGAGATCATGGCTTTGACCTGGCCGTGTGCATTAGGCTGGGATATCAAGACATTGTGAGGCTTAACGTCCCTGTGCACGATACCTAGGGAGTGGAGGTGAGCTATACCAGACACGGCCTGATACAGCAGCTCTACGGGCTCCAGACCGTGCCGTTCAAAGTCTTTATTCTGCACGTACTGCTGCAGGGTCGCGGCGCACAGCTCCAGAGCGATGTACTTGAACTGTTTGTCGGACTCCGTGCAGAAGTATCGGATGACGTGCGGATGTTCGTCCGACTCCCGCAGCAGGTTGACCTCTCTGTCTGCGAAACTGAAGCATTCCGGGAGTATTCGCTTGACCGCTACATCTCGCTTGTCGAATCGACCCTTGTAGACGATGGTACCTTCACAGCCATAGCCAAGGATGTCTTCTGGCTTGAACATGACCTTTCCAACTTGATGATAACCCTCTAGGCTCTCCTCATTCGGATATCCTTCACCGAAACTGGCTGTCGATGCTTCACTCAAGCGAGACATGCGTGAGGACTGCGGCTCACCCCTATACTGCCTCACCAGAGCCATTATTACAACCAAAACAATAGCCCCTATGACAATCCCATTAACAAGTATAAGCCAGTCCGGAATGCCAGATTCGTCATACTCTATCAACACATCTGGGTTGCTTCTGTTTTTCCTGTTGCCATCCTCGCGTATGGGTAGGCTGGGGTCTACGGTGTTGTGGGGGATATGTCGACTGGGTTGCAAGCGAGAGTTCACCACGAGTGGGGACTCGTGATGACCGAGTACCACCGAACCCCTCCTCTTGGTGGTAGCGCGGGCGGACTCGCTGTGCATCCCGGTACTGGGGATGGACGTGGTCGGGGGCAGGCTTGGCGGAGGAGTCGGCCCGTCTAGTAGGGGTACTTCATTCCGTGGGGAGACCGTGACATCCTCGTCTACAAGAGAAGGGATCGCGTACAAACCGTGGGCGTACTCCCCGACAAACAGCGTAGGAAGAAGCTTGGTCTCTTGGGATTTCCCCATGATGAGCTCGCCCCACGCGGGCACCCTCACCTGTCCAACAATCTGTTCCAGGGTTTCCATGGCGATGTTCGTGAACGGCACTTTCTTCATCTCGTCCTTGTCCCAGGCATACATGGCGATCACGGGGGAGGTGAAGTTTGCATCCCATAATACTTTCCCAGACACGGAGTCGACCGTGATCATGAGGCCGTCCGAGCTGGAGCAGTAGTGGCGCAGCGGGTAGTCGCTGCTGTCCTTCGCCACGTGCGCGGAGTAGTCCATGTACGTCACGTTCCACCGCAGCTCTCGTGTCTTACTGTCAAACATGGCGATGTTGTACTCCGTTCGACCTGCGGACATAGAATCAGGAAAATGTAATGTTTAACATAACAAAAATCTACATCGATGATCAAATACAGCAATGTAGTATTCCGTTCAGGAAAATATAAGTTACTAGTACAATGTAGTAGGCTACTAGTACTCGGCACCTTCACACAACAGTCCTGACTATATGTTGGAAAATAGAATAATGTCCACGAAACGTCATAATCCAATTAAAAATCAATATATACTATCATCCAAAGCAAGGTACTGGGATATATGATCATGAATGAATACTATTTTCAATTTTGGGTACAACTCTATCATACAAAATTCTTGTTTCATTTGGCCCAATTTTTTTTTTTTAATGCAAATCTTCAAGGAAATTTACGATATCCCTGAACACATTTGACAATCCCATCTTTTATCTGACAATCTGTGTTCCTTCAGCCTAAGGCAACAGCCAAGAATGATTGCACAATTCAAGATGACAAGATTGCATCATCCTGAAAAGTTTATCACATGTCCCAAGTAAGAAACGCCCCTCTTGTCTTTTGTTGCTTAGAAAAAACACATGTACAAAAAAAATGGCTACAGAAACGGTTACAGGACTTAATTCTGAGTCCAAAAATCACATTTTTCAGTTGTGACACCTTTACTGATAAGGTGTACAACAGGTGTATGCTAATGCAAATCATATCTTTTGAATATTGCCTTGACAACCAACCTAAAATTGTAACATACGTCTTGAAAAACCTATACTCTTAAGAAATCCGTCTGCAATGTCGTATAGAATCTTTATGAAGTATCTAGGCCGTACCAAGAAATAGTGTGGAGGCGTCCGAACTGGGACAGACGCGGTCAGTTCCTTCCATGGTTAACTTCTGTTGTTTGATGCCTGTCACCGGGTCTATGGCGTACCACGTATCGGTCTTCCTCCCCGTGTATAAAATCCCGTCCGAACTCTTACAGGGAGAGGCGTTCACCAGTTCTGGGATCGTAAACGGGAGTTTTGCGAGTCCTTCTGTGGTCCCGGCGCCGCCGAAGACGTAGAGAGAACCATCCTTAGGGTCAGGGAGGAAGGTTGGACCTGTGGTGATGTCTGTGGGGACTTGTATGACGGGGTCTTCCTTCAAAAGCCACCGTACGGCCCCAGTCCTGTGGCTGATGGCGTACAGAGTACCATCTAGGGTGGACACGAAGAGAAGAGACTCCGGCACAGACAGGGTAGTCGGCGTGGCTCGCTCAGAAAACACCGGCGACACCAGAACTAGAAACGACAAGAAAAACTGGAGCCACACAAACATGATGTCGTTGTTGTTGTGTCGTTTCCGGTGGGACGACATCCACGTCTAAACGCTTTCTCGTCACGTTAGTCAATCTTTGATCTTTCCAACGGTGTCATAGACCATTGCTGACTAGTAAAAGGCCCTAAGAAACTCCAGTGAAAAGGCGAATGGGTGAGGAAGGCGGCAACTCGAAGTTTAACACGTCAGACCATAACAACTTCCCCTTCCCTAAGGCTGACGTGGAGTTCACCAATTAGTTGGAAGACCCCATACGTTAAGGAAATAAAGTGCGTGATGATCTTAAGTTCTATCAATGAAAATGTATTCGTCGGATCAGTGATGGAAAATATACAAAAACAGCAGCAAACGTAATACGAGAAATGTATTTATGTGATCTTATGTTCCGGATTTGCGCCGAAGAAGGGTAAAATACAATTCTCTGTGATAAAGCAGGTAGCTCAGAAGATGAGACGTATGCGATCTTACTATTTATCCTGGGACCAAGAGTATGTAGGTCAGAGGTTAAAGTTGACGTCAGATTGTAAGTTTTCTGAGCTGTGATCATCTGTGTTTTCAGCGATTTTCACAATGTTTGTATCGTGTGAGAAGGAACCAAACATTCCGAAAGGATACACACTACTCTTGGTAAGGGATTCCACGTGTTAGCCAAAAGGATTAGGGAGAATTATGTTTTGTTTTGAGCGAAAAGTGGCTGAAGGTGGGGAGGGGGGCATTTGCAGGATGATGGTGCATGTTGGTTGTAAACATGTGCTTGGACCAGGTTCTGTTAAGGTAATAAAAGCCGTCGCTCAATCACTTTGAGGATGTCAAGTTGTTCTGAGTCCATAGTCAGAACTGTACTTTTGGCTACCCCTGCATGCATAAGGACCACTTAGTCATAATTTTATTTGCGGGAAATAGCCTTGTTTAGTGTCCAATTTTTTTCAGTGTCCAGTGAAACAGAATGTTCAGGTGACTTGATGTAAATGTGTTGTGATAATTCTGAGCTGTGATACTACTTACCTTTGCAGCCTGCAGTGTGTGTAGGGAACGTGGGTCAGCTGACTGTGGACCTGATTATCCACACCCTGGACATGGAGAGGATCGGCTACCTGCACACAGACTGTCTCCTGCCCATGGTCGGGAACAACCCCTTCTCTACCTCACAGGACGACGCTTCACAGCTGGCAACTGGTGAGAAGTAAATATTTGTGTGGCATAACAGCAGAATGTTTGGCTCAGAACCAAGAGGTTCTGGGTTTGAGTCCTGCCATGTCACCACTATTGTACCCTTGGGAAAGGCACTTCACACGACTTTCCTCACTTCACTCAGATGAAAATGAGAACCTAGCTTCGGTTAGGGAAGTCCCACGGATAAGATGTTAAATGGAGGTTGAGGAGAGCCACACCTTGAACACACTTAAGAACCTGCCATAATGAAAAGAATACGGGGTCCTTTCCGGTGTGACTGTGAGTGGATCAAACCATACAGTCTTGTGTACGTGTTCTTACGTACCATGCTTGGAGCCTAGAGAACAAACAAAACATGTAGTGTAAGCTTTCTCTCCCTGTCTTCACTCTTCAGGCACAGAAGTCTACAGGTCAGGGGAAAAGAACATTGTTGCAGTCCAGCAGAGAGCACCCCTGGTGAGAGGCAAGCAGTCCGAGTTCAGGAGGAGGCTACTGGAGTGGGCTAAACAGTGTGGCTTCAGCAGGGTGGTACTACTGACCAGCAGTCATGCGTACGAGAGGATAGACACACAAATGACTGGGTGGGTTGAGAGGACTGCCTGGATCTAAAGAAAAAAATATATGACATGTGACAATTATTAACTCATGTTGCAAATTCATCTTGAGGATCTTTTTGCTATATATGTAACTAAACATAATTGGCTTTGCAAATGTCATCTTTCTAGTTTTCTGCTGTTTTGTTTTTCCAGGACCCAGCTGAGATACCTGCTGAGCCCAGAGTTGGAGAAGTCTGTCGGGGAGGCTGTTGGGGAGTTGAAGTGGACCCAGCTGGAGAGGAGGAGGCTGTACCCTGGGGTGGAGCACAGGGAGGGGGAGGAGCAGACAGGAGTCTTCATCCCTGGAGGGGGCATTGCTAGGAAGTTTTACCAGGAATGGTAATGATCCATTCATTTACTCATCTATCCATCCATCTACCTCCCCATCTATGTATTTATCTTTTCACCCATCTATTCATGTACTCAGCCATTCATCCACTTAACCATCCATCCATCCATCCAGGCAGTATCCATTTGCCATGCAGTTACCATTTGCCATCCGATGCTGGTGTGAAAACAATACCAGTACAAAAAAGATGCCTAAAAACACACGAAAAATAAGCTGAAGCAAATCCTCTGCTTAGAGAGTAATCTATCCATTCATCTAAGTTGACCTAACCAACCACCCATTCACCCAATAGATTAAGTTATAGGATTTTAATCTTATACATGTAGAAAGTAATGAACATGTACAATGTATCTCAAACATTATCAAACAGCAGATTTGTATGATAGCTGATTTGTAATCTGTTCTCCCACAGCTGTGAGGCAGACTTCCCCCTGGCAGTGTTGCTGACATTCTGTGCAGAAGGAGACAACATTCCTGATGCCTTCTCTTTAGCAAATTACCTCAACCAATGGCTGCAGTTAGTGCCTGGCAGGGTGAGATTTACTTCACATTGTATGGTTGCAATTCTGGAGTGCACTGCCAGAGGGCACTCTTCTTAGAACTTTAGATCCAGACTACACATACACAAAGATGGTTTTGTAAATGCACACATTTCACACATTTGTTGGCATGTATTTGTTGGCTTCCCTTCAGAAGAGAATGACACTGTTCAAATGGTAAATAGTTTAGTGGAAATTCTTTGTGAGCCACAAATAGTGTTGTGTGTTACCACTAAGTCGATTTTAGTATAAGCTGCCACTACTTTGAAAGTTTGAGCATGGATACAGTTGCAGTTGTTCCAAATGACTTCAAGTAGATATAGCTCATCATCTTTGCATGCACAATTGACCGCAGTATTTTCTTGTGTTCCACAGAAGTCTGGAGGTAAAGGAGGCACCCCCCAGGCTGAGTGGAAGATTCCAAGCTCCTGGACTCTCCTGTTTGGCAGCACCCATCCCCCTGATCTGTACTGATGCAGCTGGTCCATTCCTACAACCATGAGAGTTATAACCAGTACCCCACTCCTGCAACTGTCTGGTTTTGCCTGTTGTCCAATTTCTGTTACACATACCAGCAGATCCATTACTAATTTCCCCAGCAACATAATTGATTAATAATTGCCCTTTTAAGGCCGTAATCTGAAATGCATCATTAATTCTCCTGGGTTTTATAGGACAGCCTGCTTTCCACAACTTATCAAATGTCTGAATCTGGAGAGGCATTTATTTAAATCTTGCAATAAATGTGTATACTAGTCATGCTAGTAATACTGTTCATTTTCATTGCTTTCTTTCAAACGTATTTTCATTTATAGATTTCTCTCCAGTTTGGGGCCAATTTACCCCTTCACTAGAATATATTTTAGGGCCAGAATTCATTTGTATGGCATACTATATATCTGGGGAACAGACATCAGAAGCTTCTTTACTTCAAAGTACAGTAAACAAAAACATCCTTTTTTTCATAACCTTTCACTCATACATCGGAATCACTACCTTCATTTGAGCAATTAATTACTTAAAATAGTCTTGCAGACATTGAAGACAACTGACACTGGATAAGATCACAGTGGAAAGTGACATTTAATAGGTGAAGTAAAAAGAAGAAAAAAAAAGACATGCATGAGGTATGCTATTGGCTAAAAGTCCCTACACATCTGTACAAATGATAAATTATGATCACAAACTGGGACAGAAAACACCCAGGATGAACATTTAGGATCAGAAAAAAAGGCCAGTATGGCCATCAGTGTACTTCCCTAGACATACAGATATTTATATATGTACACAATACACATTAGCAGACAGCAACATTTAAATAACGGTCAAAGTTATATCTAATTTTAAAAACGTAGTACGTCACACGTAGCAGCTTCATTCAAGTCATTGCCATTAAAGTTTTGTTGCTACGACGCTCCGCCCCGACCCCAGAACACCCAGGAAGCAGTCCATCCTCTTTTTCGTTTACACAGTTTGAAATCACAAATATAGACATTTTCTAGATACTACATAAATAGGTTACATCTAAGTCAGGTAAAAAGTACTGACTCACTGAGGTAAGAATATAAAACACCAAACCATGCTTATTGAAGGCCCAATAAAGGCATTCCAAGGCTCAAAAAAGGCATTCAAAATGCACGTTTTCATATCAAAGTTTCTCCTTATATTCTTACCACAGCTTCAGTGCTGCATAAGGACCGGTATTCCACAAGATCTGACTGGACAACACAAACATTTTTAAAAAAAGAAAAAGCTGCCACAATCAATGCGGCTGAAAAAAATTGTCTGTACATTTTGAGGAATGCTTTGTAATGATCCGTTGCTACAAGACAACACAACTATATAATAGTGTGTGCAAAAAAAATGTTGAAATAATTATTTAAGACTAGGAGTGCAACTTTGTCGATACATCCAGGCCATGAGGTAATATACGTGAAGTAATAATTAGCTTCTGGTTGTGCCAGTAACAAGATAGTTCATGCCAGCTGTATATTGAGAATCCGTAAGTTGAACTCCAATGCACAGACGAATGCAGAAGAAAGCGATAATTTCAGTTTAATTACTGCTGAATCTGCTGGTCACACATAGGAGTGGGAAACTTAGTCTCATCGTCAATCAGAGGCCAGAACCTCCAACGGTGCCTACTTTGTGACCTACTGTACTTTCTCTTCCATTTGTTTGTATCGTGATGCCAAAAAGACAAAACACCCAAAGCACAATCACTTTGAAAATAAATCCCCTCTCCTCATAAAACATGCTTCTTCTCCGGGCGAAAAAATTCCAGTCTCTTTCATAAAATTTGACACCCAAGCCCTTCCCAAACCCCTTACAACTCCTGCACACGCTCCCCCAGCTTGTGTAGCTCGTTCCTGATCTCGTTGGGCAGATCGTCGTTGACTTGATCCTGGAAGTACTTTTCGATGGCCTTTACTTCCTGGGACCAGAAGTCTCTGGGCAGGGAGAACAGCTCCTGCATGTCAACCGCCTCCTTCAACCCTTCCGTATTCAACGACCCGTCCGCGGGCAGGTAGCCAATCGGAGACTCATTGGCGCAGTCCTCGTTGTCGACCCTGCGGCAGATCCAGTCCAGCACGCGGGCGTTCTCCCCGAAGCCGGGCCACAGGAAGCCGCCCGCCTCCGCCTTGCGGAACCAGTTGACGTGGAAAATCTTGGGCAGCTGTGCGTTGGGGTGGCTCTGCATGCTCAGCCAGTGGGACAGGTACTGGCCGAAGTTGTAGCCGAAGAACGGTCTCATGGCGAAGGGATCGTGCATGATGACTTTGCCTGGAAAGGAAATACTTTATAGTTAAGACGATTCTACACACATTTATATCCAAGTCGGGGTAACTCGCAACTTAAAATACAGAGACAACAGTTGAGATTTGAACTACCAACCACTTAATCCAAAGTTCTAGAGGCAGGGTTGCTAACCACTGGATTACGCATGATACAAATCTCAACAGATCATCATATTCATATTGTTTGATTCATCGAAGGTTAGAAGTCCAGAGAAACAATACTTACAGACAATTCGAACTCTACTACAGTATAAATTTTCAAAGTCATTGAAGAAGAGTGATGGATGTCATGCAAAACACCAAAACGAAACCCCATTTTCCAGTAGTAATAGAGTTTGAATTGTCTGTAACATCAAGTTGTGTGCTCTCACCTTTGTGCTCAGCAGCAGCAGTTGCCTCTGATCTCATGGCAGCGCCGATGAACACGCCGTGGGTCCAGTTGAAAGCCTCGTACACCAGGGGGACACCCTTGGGTCTTCTGCCGCCGAACATGATGGCCTCGATGGGAACACCCTCTGGGCTCTCCCAGGCCGGGTCCATGATGGGACACTGCCCGGCGGGCGCACAGAACCGAGAGTTGGGGTGGGCGGCCTTCATGCTCTTGTCGGCAGGGTCGTACTTCTTCCCAAGCCAAGTGGTGATCTCAACTCCCTGTGGGCACAATCATGAAGTTTACATCATGAATCTGCTTTGGTGTAGTCTTCAATCAAAGGCTTGCCCTTCCACACAAGGTTTCAACCAATTGAAGCTGAACACTATAATGAAACTTGATAATGTTTGGTCAGTATGCTATGGGATATGGTTGTTTCAATGTACTATTTTAAAACAATAAATAGAAAATTGACTTTTATCAAGTACACATCCCGTGAATTGTTTCATCAGGTTGGCACAAGTAAGTCACTGAAGAAAGACACTTGTTTTGTGTAAAAAGTGTCCCTCTATTTTTGGAGTACAGTTTTCTCACCGGCTCAGGTTTCTCCATGCCTTCCCACCAAACCCCGCCGTCGCTGGTTTCCGCCACGTTGGTGAACACGGTATTACTGGTGATGGTCCTCATGGCGTTGGGGTTCGTGTCGTACGACGTCCCGGGCGCGACTCCGAAGAAGCCGTTCTCGGGGTTGATGGCACGCAGTCTGCCCTCGTCGTCGAAGCGCATCCAGGCGATGTCGTCGCCGACGCACTCCACCTTCCAGCCGGGCAGGGTGGGCTGCATCATGGCGAGGTTAGTCTTGCCGCAGGCGCTGGGGAAGGCTGCGGCAATGTACTTCTTCTCACCCTGGGGGTTGGTGATGCCCAGGATCTGGAACAGACAAGGCACGTCAGAAATCTACGCATGCAGGTCTGCAGACTACTTGCACCAAAGCAAGGGTTGTAATGCAAAAATGCCCACAAGGCTAGTGCTGTATTTATCCAGTCACAAATAGTAAAATGACTTGTTCATTCACAAATAACTTTAACATGCTTCATCCATAAAACTGCTAGAAAATGAGAAAGTGCATTAAATGATTAGAAAATCTGTCAAAGGACAAACTTTTTCATGAAAAAATGTGTACTCACCAGCATGTGCTCAGCCAGCCAGCCTTCGTCCCGTCCGATTCTGGAGGCTATTCTCAGGGCAAAGCACTTCTTACCCAGCAGGGAGTTGCCTCCATAGCCGCTGCCGTACGAGATGATCTCTTTCTTGTCAGGGATGTGGGCGATCATCACCTTTTTGGGGTTGCAGGGCCACTTTTTGTCAGCGTTCTCTGGAGGGCAGAACCATAGCAATGCAATTTCCACTCTAACAGTATTTACAAAGCGTGGGCCAGCCCCCTGTGTATACACCTCAGCAGCTTTAAGTGGCTGAAGTGGGTTTGACCGCTGCCTCTCGGTGCTGCGAGAGGACCTGGGTTCGTTTCCCACCAGGGCGCACCTGTGCTGCAAACGCTTACTTACAAACAGTCACTGCTAGCTCTGGGCAAATGGCATAAGTCTTAGGACTGAAACAAATGGAATCATAAGGGCAGAAAGGAAAGAAAAAGAAGGAGTGGAATGTGTTTTGGTTGGATCAGTCGAGACGTCGGATGTGGTAGCCACCTGTTGAGAGTTGGGCTGGGATCACGCCGACACGCTGTGGTACACCAACGCGACGACCCTCTCGATCTGCGGATCTTTTTGCCGAAGAGCCTGTTCAACCTGAGATGGTGGGGGCTGCGGAAGGGAGAAATCCGAGAAGGACCATTAGACGATAACCTAAACCGGTTTCATCTACCCTAGTGGTGTGGGGAACCTGGCCGATCGGGGCAGTGTGATTTTCAGCTCTCCGGTCCGCAAGACGCTCCACAGCAGTGCCTGTGATACTTACATGTACCCCTCCACCAGAAAACAGGAGTTTCATCCAACATTTGTCATCACTGATACACTTTTCACAGCCTAGGCTTTGCTTTATAGACTGAAGAGTTAACTACTAGCTGCACATGCAAGTCATTGTTTTCTTCATGAAGGAAGTAGAGCGGAGCCCACGTGCAGGTAAGTGGTAAGATCATAAAGTGTAATTTTCTTCGAAAACAGCAGAGATGACAATAAACATTGGTCCAATGAGCACATTTATTATCACCTCTAGTGGCCTTTTCTTAGTGTTTATAAAAAAAATGTCCAGAAAAAAGATGTGTCCAAAACAAAAGAAAGACTGGCTTTTATCTGTTCAAAGAAATGTTTCTGGACTGCTGAAGCAAAACACTTAAGAAGGAAAGGCAATGCATGTGTTGGAATGAAGGGAAGACCAGCAGTTAAGAAGAGGTTAGCCATGCTGTGGAAGAGGAAAACATGCACTACGTACTGCACATGCATGCTGAGCAAGTTAGGCCTTCAGTGACGGATTTTTGTTGGATGAAACTCCTGATGGCACTCACCCCCTGGCCAGGTTCCACCATGTTAGACTATGTACATATGGATGTTAGCATTGAAGACCATACAACACCAATAACACTACAATACAACAGTTCCTGAAAATAGTATTATTCACTGAACAAAGATGTTTGGACACTCTTCTGATCTTAGAAAACATCAAATCTTGCAAATCATCCTTCCAGTTCTTGATTTCTGTATCAGATTCAGAAGAATATATTTTTGGTCCAGTCTTCTTTGTTCATAGAATATTACCTGTCAGGTTTGACTTTTCTCCATGTTATTGGTATCATGTTGTCTTTAACAACCTAGATTTTGTGGATGACATGGAAAGCGTGTAACATTTGAGGTAACCTGTCCCAAAAAGACCTCTCCAAATGGTTAGGAGAATTTTGAGAATGTCATCCATAAAACCAAGCTTGTGTGTCATAAGACGTCAGGATTTGTTCTGAAAAATCTATCCTGAATGGCATTTGGTGCACTTTTGAAAGACAAGGCTACTCAGGAAGAAAAGTCTAAGATCCTTTTGCCGAACCAGGAAACCTTTCAAACGACCAATCACCAGCTTTGTTACATAATGTGTACAGACACAGACAGAAACACCATAACCTGAAAGACCACGTTGAAATCAGTTCAAATCAGTAAATCACTAAATCATGACATAAAAATCAATTTCCACAACAACAGCAACCTGAAATAAGTAGTCTCAATTTTCCTAGAACAGAGACAGTATTTTCAAGCTTCGCTGCTACCAGTACTGGAACTGTTCAACACAGAGTAAAACAACTTTCAAAGTGCAATATAACCCGAGCACATGGAAATCTGACCAACTCCAGTAGGGCGTTGGAATTACTGAACAAACTTGCATCAACTGAGAGCGTCAACAAGTACCTGAATCAGAAACTGGTGCTCCGACGGAGTGGAGGCATTTCACAAACTCGTCTTCGCCAATGGCGTCCAACACATTGGCGCCCATCCTGGTCATGATGCGCATGCTGGCCACCACGTAGGGGGAGTCCGTCAGCTCGATGCCGTACTTTGCGAGTGGCGAGCCCACGGGTCCCATGCTGTAGGGGATGACATACATCGTGCGACCTGTGCAACAGAGACAGGACAACCAAGGTTTAGTTTTCTTTCATTTCATTTCATTATCAAAACCTTTTAGCCCTGTTGGGCTAGTCTTCCGAAGCTCATATGTACATACAGTTAAAAACACACAATTGACCCTTGTTGTATATCTCTAGAGTACTTTGTTTTCTTGTCTTTAGCATAGAATTATTACAAAGTACTCTGGAGATATATACCATGTAGCACCCAAGGGTCAAATTGTGGATTAACAGCTTACATTACCATGGAGAATAATGCTGCCAAATGGCATGAGCTAATGTCTCAGGATAGGAAAGAGGATATAGCTCTATCAAATGATGTTGAAATATTATCTCCCGTATTAGCCTTAACTATAAGCAGCATATCAGACAGACATTGGTATTAGGTCTGGTTACGTAGCGATGACGCATACAAGCGGGAAGATTCCGTTACGTGACGCCACATCCAATCAAGCGCTATCCCTGCCCACCACTAAATTTCCTGCAGTAATTGACTTGATATGATACTACGGATATCAAACTGGATCAGGCCGGCTGGTGATTTGAGTGGGCGGGCACGTACCCTCAACCTTACCCAAGGTCGTACTAATGTAGAACCCGATTCCTTAATCAAGTGCTGTTATTCGTTACTGTGGAGGATGGGAGGAGAGGACGTAGTGACGCACGGACTAAGGGGACCAGCTGGGGCACTGCACGACAGGAAATTGAGTTAAACAACTAAAGTGAAGAGGTTTTTTTCAATGAGTGTAAGGCTGAGATGGCTCTTTCAATGAGTGTTAGGATGAGATGTCATCAGTGGAAATTTCCAGATTGTCAGTCACTACTCAAAGACTTGTAATTTCCCTATCATCAATTTAACTACTGTTTTTGTCAAATCTTCCATTATCATATTTATCATATGGTTGGCATTAAAACTGCCCACTCTGTTTGTGGTGCCACCACAAACCACCAGAATGTAAACAAGCATTGCTGACAGCTGTGTTTCCAGCTTTTAAACACCAATAAGTTGTCATATTTTGACACATCCACTTCTTGATTGGCAGTGGAGTGTGGTTGATTCTGCTTACTGACCTCTCATGCAGCCAGGAAACCTCTCCTCGAAGGCGATCTCCATGTCTTTAGGTGAGATCCAGTGTCCCAGCTGCCCCTTCACACCCTCCGCCGGCTGGGGGATGGTGTCTCTTTCGCTCTCCGTGCAGATCACCGTCTTGCTTTCTACGCGGGCAACGTCTCTGGGGTCCGTATTGGCCAACCAGCTAGAACGAAGACAAACGAACAGCAAATTAGTCCAAATTTTCGCAAGAGAACATGAAAGAGATAAAAATGTGACAAATATCTGCCATTTGGAACATCACGTGGCATAATGGTCAGAGCGTTCAGCTTGGAACCAAGAGGTTCTGGGTTCGATCCCCTGACATGCCCGATGATGTGCCCTCGGGAAAGGCACTTCACACGACTTCCCTCCCTGTATGGTGGAGTAGCGCCCACTGGATCTTTCAGCTAATCGTTAATACTGTGCCAAACACTGATGAGGACACAAACGGATATGGTGTTGCCAACGGATATGGTGACAAGATCTGCACATTTGCCACTAAAAACCATACAATTTTGTTTTTCACACATTCAGAACAGCTTTATAGAACAGCACACTTACCAGTTCTCATATTTGGGTAGTTTCTTGACCATCTTCTGTGATTCCAGTAGGTTTAGGATGATGTTGTTCTCCTCTGTGGTACCATCACAGATGTGGATGTTGTCTGGCTGACAAATTCTGGCCTGCTGCTCAACCTGAAAACACATTGTTCCTTTAGCAAAAAGGAAATATTTCTAACATTACATACTTACATACATATAATTTAACTACCCAAAACCCACAAATTTTGGAAAAAGAGGGGCATCAAGCCTTCCATGGTTTACAACCTTCAGACATAATTCCAAGACAGTTACCTTTTATTTTGTAGATTAGGTATTTTGTACCCTGTTTCACTGTTCTTTTATCTATGTTACTACTAATACTAGTCTTTCCAATTAGCCTTTGAGGAGGAACTTGCAATAAACTTGATTATTATTAAATTAATAAAACCAGTGACCTACCCAAGTTCTGATGCGAGGCTGCAGCTTGTCCAGGTCTCCATGGAGCGTACGGAAGCTGGGCTGGGTCTGGGCGGGGACGGGAGGCATTCTGTGTACACTTCTGTGGGCCTGCTTTATAACCAGGGTACACCGACTGCAGGGAGACACAGAAGTACAAAAACAAGTCAATAAAAAGCGATCTCATACCAGGTTTAGCTTACTGAAGAGCTAATCTCTCACTGGTTGTAACAGACGCTATGTATCTTTACAGGTTCATTGTACCGGGGAAATTCCCCAGCTCTTCTTAACATTGAAGCACGATGAACAGTGGACCACAGCTTAATGTCCCGTTCGAGGGACTGCGACTCATTCCAGCAACATACATGTTGGGGGAGCGACAACAGCCAGGATTCGAACTCCCAACTGCTTGGTCCAGTGGCATGGTCGCTTGCCACTGGACTATGCCACATGTTACATAAATAACAATGAATAAGATGTAGTCTTGAAAGGTAATCCACATATTTTTCTGTGCATCTGAACTTATCAGCAAACATACACATGCATTCTAAGAAAATGGAAGTCTCCCTTTTGATGAAGTACATATAAAAATTATGTACATGTACAGACATTTTGACTTCCATATTTGATATATGATGATCTGTGCAAGAGATCGTAAACGGTGGATCTATTATTATGATACTGTATCCATGCTAGATCACATTAAGAGAAGTTGGCTAAAAGTGCGAACTAGTCAGTTGATCAATTATATTTGTTATCATTAAAGACACCACATGGCTGCATGTTTTAGATAACATCCAATGTCTTCAACTTATGTTACACTGTGAAAGGAAATGCCCTTTCAGTACTACTATCTATCCTGTCTATCTACAATGTGTCCTACTAACACACTTACAGGACACTGGCTCTATTCCAGAAATCCTTGACACGGTTTCTCAAATTCTGGGTGAACTGACATGATATTTTAGTAGTCAAGGTTAAGTGTATAGAATTTACTGTCAGACAAAAAGGAAAAATCAATGGCAAAATGGGAAAGAAAAATAGAGATAAACTTGAAAACTAGAGCAAATCTTTTAGTCTTACAATGGGAATAAGCCAACCGTTACCTGTTTCAGTGTTTGCATTGTTTAGCCAAATGGATGCCCCAATTTCTATGGGCTTACCATTTGCATAGCGCTTTAGGCCAAACGTACAGGGCAACTGCACACTTAAGTGATTGCCAATCTTCCCTTTGATCAAATTTGTTCCTTTTACTCTCAGATAATGTTACACTGATTGACGCATGGCCTGTCAGACCGTTCTGCCCATAAAATATCCAATCATCCACCATTTACCTTCATTTACCACAAAAATGTAGTGCATGCACTCACATCAGGGCTCGAATTACCCTTAAATTCACCACTTCGTGCAAATGAAATTTGAGGGGTGCACATAATTTTTGACTGCACTTACAAAATGTACACCAGACTACTGCAACCACTAGAGAAATACTAGTATCTATCAAAGGTATGAAAATTCCCATTTACTATATTGTAATGCATCAATCATCTGCTCATATAATTATGGGCCTAGACAACCTGTACTGAGATGTAAACCTTATAACACTGGTCGCATCAATTTTGGAAAGTCACAACGCATTTGGAAACTCAAGTAAAAATTGATTTTCAACATTCAAGTTTCACATCAGTGTGTAGCTCTTGGTGTAATGAGCACAGTGATATGAAAATTATTGTTCTGCAGTGTCCATAACTTAAGATATCATTAATAATAAATACAAGCAGACCAGTGGTCTTTTCTAACAGCCCGTCAGGCCTAACAACTAGCCCGCAAGTTTTAATTACAGGACCTTCGGTCTAAAGGCACTTAGACTACAGGTCTAGATCCCCAGACCGCGGGCTGATTTACTCAAAAACCATTCAGACCGTCAGCCTAACTTCAGCCCGCGGTCTGGAATTTCTGGTCAAAGAGGTGCAAAAATCCCAAAACAATGGCATGGAAGGTGTGAATTGATTGATGTTTGCAGACTGTCTGTGCCAATTTCAGCCTGGTGGAGTAAGGATTCAGACCTCACGGACTACATCTCAGCCCGCGGTCTAAACCAAGTGATGTGTAAAACTTCATTCTCAGAGCAGAAAATAAGAAAGGAGAGCATAATCCACACCCATCTGTTAACAGTCTTGTACATATTTGCCGCTTTCAACCTCACTCACTCACTCAATTTCACTCAGCTTCGCATGATCTTTCAACTAGGCCACAAAAAAGAAAGAAGAGCTTACAAACACGTTCTGTACCAGCTAGGGGTAGAAAATGAAACAATTTTTTCTCATGAGCATCCTGACTGTCATTGAAGTTCAGTTCAGTTCAGTTGAAACATTGGGGAAATTATGTTACAGACAGTTTTGCCGGACAAAATTCTAGTATATCAGCCTAGTATATTAAGCAAGAAGCCTTAATACATGTATTGCAACTTAAACCTGCTTTCAAAGCAATGTAGTTATAAAATCCTCAGTCCATTTCTGTTCAACCATGGTTCAACAGTTCTCAGGTAATTATTCTGATCAAGGAACAATTGTTATGCGGGATGAAACTAAGTCTAGCTATTGTTCTTGACATGCAAATGCCACTGTCCAATTATCAAGTTGGACTATTGTTGAGTTACACGTCGAATTACAGTACCCCTATCTACTCTCCAAGCAGAGGTTTGGGTTTTGGGGGTATAAAACACGCTAAAAATACCCCCAAAACCCAAACCTCTACTTGGAGAGTAACCCCTATCTGGGCAGCTTGTACTGGGTCACCCAGTAGGAGCCTGAAAAGATGTCCGACTATCTTAAAAAATAAAACTAGGATTCTCATCATTAATTTCTTGTCAATAATCTAAATCTAATCTAATCTAATCATAAATACTAAAAAACTAGTTGTGGGATAGAAAGATTTGGCCAAGACATGGTTCTCACCGTGTGAACCCACTGCCATCTGACACTGTCATTCAATGTCATGAGATTTTCTGATAGGATATTTTTTCGGGCTATTGAGCTACCCAGTGCAAGCTACAAAGACCATGTCACCCATGTCAGGGTAGCCCGACCAGACTCTCTAATTTGATAATTGGACAGGTATGAATGATAACATGCATGGAAATTCATTTTGAAAATTTTCTTCCTGCAGGAAATTTCTGGAAAAACCTACTAAGACATTGTAGATTCCTGCAGATAGAATCCTTCCTAGAAATCTCGCAGGAATTTTTGCAGGAATGACTGTATAATAAATATATACAACTGTTAGGCCACACCAATATAATGTAGTCTCCACCAGACTCCTTTGCAGGCTGAATAAATAGTAGCAATCGGCTAAGGGGAACATCATTGGCCAGAGGAGTTGGCCGGCCATAGAGACTAAATATAATGCCATTACTTGTTTCTCAGACTCATTCACTTGAAGAAGAATCCTGTTCTATAAAATTGCAACATTACATCAATATTCTCTCAAGGTCACCTTAGTAATTGATCAATGATCATCTGATTTTTTGTATGTCAACTCAATGAATGTTTTTGCTTCCCTTTCTCCAGTTGTAAACACGTCTAACATTGATCAGAATCTGACTGGAGACTAACTTCAAGTTGTTGCTTGGAAGTTAGAACTTGTTAATTTTATCATAATCATCTCCCCTCCCCTTTTGTCACCCATTTTTAAAGAAACTGTGTTCTTTGTGTCTAGGGGATAACAAGCCTTCACAATGTAATTCATAGGCTTATTGAGGGATGTCTATTATCACTCTATGGTGACATTTCCTTGGGCAAATGTTGGCCCTCCAGGAGCCAAGGAGCTAGCCTGGCAGCAGTCTGGTACCCATGTAACAGTGGGGGGTTTATAGGCACTACAGCTCGCCCCTGTTTCTTACACCCAGGCTACCTGGTCTGCTATCATACATGTACATCCTGCGCTGTACAAGCATTTTACGTTCTGTTCCTAAATTTTTGGGAAATATTCAAACTGAATGAACAGCTCTTTTCATATCTATTTGAGATGTTTCACAAATATTGTAACAATTAGAAAATTTTCTATTTTCTTTTTTAACTATACTTTTGAAATTATCTAGAAACATGGTGGTTTTTTTATTTCGAAATGGTTACAATTTGTAATGTGGAATATAGCAATATAGAATTGACTCTAGGCCTTGGGCAAGCACTTCCAATTACATGTAATTGTAATTTAGACCAAGGACATTATACACAGTGTGTATAATGTCCTTGTTTAGACTTATTACAAATCCTGTAAAGATTCTCATCATTAATTTTTTGTTAATAATCTAAATCTAATCTAATCATCATAATGATACTACAAACTAGTTGTGGGATAGAAAGATTTGGCCAAGACATGGTTCTCACAGTGTGAACCCACTGCCATCTGACACTGTCATTCAATGTCATGAGATTTTCTGATAGGATATTTTTTCGGGCTATTGAGCTACCCAGTGCAAGCTACAAAGACCATGTCACCCGTGTCAGGGTAGCCCGACCAGACTCTCTAATTTGATAATTGGACAGTGGTCATTTGCATGCCTGGAACAATAGGTGACCTGAGGTATGACCCGCATAACAAAGGTGCACTGGAACAGAATAATTACAAAAGAAAATGTAACAATAATTTCCTAAAGCATTGTATTTGTACAACTCCTTGCACTGAAAGCAAGTTCATGTTGCAAATTGAGGATCCTTGCTTTTTATGTTTTCAGTGTACATCGGCTGAGGCTTATACATGGCAGGATTATGGCACTAAAACTCCAAATATTTTCCTTTTAATTATAAATGTTTCCATGGAGTTATTGTTTATCTGTTAACCATGTCCATTCATCTTGTTTTGTTGTGACCTGTACTTAGCCAAGTGTGGCAGAAATGTGCAATGAAGGTCTTCATTGTTTTAAAAAAAAAAAATTTCTACCTCCATGATGTTTCAAAGGGATTTGGCCAGGGGAGTTGCCCATCCATAGTAGGACAGATTGGACTATACCTGCCAAACAGAAACTGTAAGTGACCATGAAGTGTCCTCAAAAGTTGGCTTCCAACACCACAACCAATCAGGTCTAATATGAAGTGTTCTCGCTGAGACAAGGGTCTTTTATGATGCTATCTGATC